TCGAACTTCAATCTTGAAAATGGAAAGAACACCCTGTCGAACTTCAATCTTGAAAATGGAAAAAACATCGGAAAGAATAGAAACAGTAATCGATGGCCAAAAGAGCAATTGTTAGTGGTGATGTGGGACCTATTTCAATGGATTTGGTGCGTTTTTGCCAGGTAGCATGTGACATGGCAAAAATTTTATGCATGTCATCACTTTTTTAAGTTTTGTTCTCCACATCATCAAAAAAAATATAAAAAATGCCACCTAAGCAAGGTTAACGGCTCAAATTAACGGAAGGACTAACAGAGTGCATTTCGTATAGTTGAGGGATCAAAAAAGTACAAAAAATTGTTGAGGGACCAAAAATGTTCATTTCTTAAAGTTGAGGGACCAAATTAAGCATTTATCCTTGTTGAAATCATGTTTTCAGCAACATAACTTATATTAGTAAAACTGCCCCAAGAATCTCACCAGAACTGATGGTCAGAAATTGGAAAAATTTTTACCAACATAAGCCACGTTGTTCAAATTTTGGTTTTTGCAACATGGCTTATGTTATTGAAAATATTCAAAATTTTTGTTGGAATCTTCACCAGCAAAAGGCAAAATTTCACAAAATTTTTAATAACACAAGGCACGTTGTTGAAACAATATTTTTAGCAATGTACCTTATGTTGCTGATACATCACCAACAAAATTCTTGTTGCTAATGTATCATCCACCAAAGCATTTCCAACCAAACTTTTAGCAATTAGAGATATGTTGCTGAAGCAGTTTCAACAACATGAGAACCTTTTTCAACTACATGTTCATGTTGCTGAAAATAGGAAATTTAGTAGTGTTAATATCATGGTTTATACCACATTATTTGTCCCAAATTTTAGTTTTATGTGCCACTACATTACTTATTTAATATGTTGATGGTGCATATTACTCTCTCTTATCAAATTTAATTGTCTCACCTTTTAAATAGGTGGTCTAATTTAGTTGTCCCTCTTTTCATTTTAATAACACACATTAAATGCTAATATTTCAAATTTTCAATTATCTCAAAATAGATAAAAATATATTAAAAATTTTTATTGAATTATAAATAAGGGTAAAAATATAAAGATAAATTTTAATTATTATAATAAAC